GCTGTAGTAAGAGTCATGGCTGTAGTAGGAGTCATGGCATTAATAGGAGTCATGGCTATAGTAGGAGTCATGGCTATAGTAGGAGTCATGGCTGTAGTAGGAGGCATGGCTGTAGTAGGAGTCATGGCTGTAGTAGGAGTCATGGCTGTAGTAGGAGTCATGACTGTTGTAGGAGTCATGGCTGTAGTAGGAGTCATGGCTGTAGTAGGAGTCATGGCTGTAGTAGGAGGCATGGCTGTAGTAGGAGTCATGGCTGTAGTAGGAGTCATGGCTGTAGTAGAAGTCATGGCTGTAGTAGGAGTCATGGCTGTAGTAGGAGTCATGGCTGTAGTAGGAGTCATGGCTGTAGTAGGAGTCATGGCTGTAGTAGGAGTCATGGCTGTAGTAGGAGTCATGGCTGTATTAGGAGTCATGGCTGTAGTTGGAGTTATGGCTTTAGTAGGAGTCATGGCTGTAGTAGGAGTCATGGCTTTGTAGTAGAAGTCATGATTGTAGTAGGAGTCATGGCTGTAGTAGGAGTCATGGCATTAATCGGAGTCATGGCTGTAGAAGGAGTCATGGCTGTAGTAGGAGTCATGACATTAATAGGAGTCATGGCTGTAGTAGGAGTCATGGCTGTAGTAGGAGTCATGGCTGAAGGACAGTTTGGAACTTGATCCTATGTGTGGTGGCGCTTGGGGGTGGTGGTGGGTGGGGAGTGAATGGTAAGGGAACTTGATCGTTTTTACCGGATGTTGCTAATCTATACGTTTGGTGTGGTGGAAGTTGTGGTTGCGGGGGGGGTGAGTAGGTGCATCCGGGGAGACTAACAAGGTCAGCTACAAGGTCAGCTACATCAGCCAATACTTTAAAAACAATAATAAAATTAGATTCAACTGTCATTTAGGATTCCTAGCAATTTTATAAGCTGAATTCCAAAAAAATACCCCCCCCTCCCCCAAAAAAATAAATGTTAAGAATTTAAAAAAAACGCATAAAACTTTAAAAATAAATATTTTAAAAAGTAATTGTATTGTATTTTTAAAGAAATACAAACTATCCCTAAAGGTTAAATATTTGTGTATTCGGAGACTTCACTTTAAAATTAGCTATTTCATGGGATACATATAAATGTGTCCCACTTATTTCATTTTATGGCTAATGCCAGTAAATTTAAAACTTTATTCCCCACCTGCATTATAATATCATCTTTAACTTTTTAGGCTCTACTCTATGAGTGTTGGACTGTGATACAGCTTTCTAAATCGATTAAGAGAACACAAACCATTTGTGTAAATATGAATAGTATAGTTCAGATTTAATTATGTGTAAAACAATTTGTAATTTTTCTTCACCTAACTAAAGCTGACATCTACTGATACATAAAGTTTTATTTACACAAAGTTTCTGTGTCCCATTAATTTAACTTGATCCCTGAAGCGAAAGAGACACATGTCCACAATTCTGCATGCATTTCAAAACTATGTCTACAAAAAAACTCAACTGAATCTGTCATATAATTTAATAGTTTAGACCAGATGTCGGCAAACGTCGGCCTTTAGGCCAGATACGGTCTACCTAAAAATCCAGTTGGGCCTAACACCCATCTAGTTTTTTAAAATCCGGCCTAAATGAATTGTGTCCGTTGTGTTTCCCTTCATTAGTGCTAATCGCAACTCAAGCTACGGTTCTCATTCACTGTTGTGCGTTCTCATTCATGGATGTGCGTTCTCATTCACTGATGAGGGTTCTCAATCAAGGCTGTGCTTTCTCATTCATTGATCTGTGTTCTCATTCACTGATGTGCGTTCTCATTCATTGATGTGCGTTCTCATTCATTGATGTGTGTTCTCATTCATTGTTGTGCATTCTCATTCATTATTGTGCGTTCTCATTCACTGATGAGGGTTCTCAATCAAGGATGTGCTTTCTCATTCATGGATGTGCGTTCTCATTCACTGATGAGGGTTCTCAATCAAGGATGTGCTTTCTCATTCATTGATGTGCGTTCTCATTCATTGATGTGCATTCTCATTCATTATTGTGCGTTCTCATTCGCAAAAGATCGTCAACATCACTTTTGAGTTTCCCCACTTACTTGCAATTGGAGCTGATTGAGTTGCAGGCTTCGGAAATGAACTTGTCGAAGTCTACTTCCTGCACCACTCTCATAGACTTCTACCATCATGTACCACGTGCTCAGTTTCCAATGTTGTTAGCCCATGTCAAGCGAGTGATCGCAATGAATTACTGAACTTACTATTGCAAGCAGCTGTCCTCAACAAGACGAAATTTGGTAAGAACAAGCTGAACTCTCTGCTCACTGATAATCACCTTAATAAAGTTAAGCTGCTAAGCTCCTCATTAGCATCTGATATTGTGTATGTCTCTAAGAACATGATATTGTATCTGTCTCTAAGAACATGATATTGTATCTGTCTCGAAGAACATGATATTGTTATCTGTCTCTAAGAGCCTGATATTGTATCTGTCTCGAAGAACATGATATTGTAATTTGTCTCTAAAAACGTGATATTTTATCCGTCTCTAAGAACATGATATTGTATCTGTCTCTAAGAACATGATATTGTTATCTGCCTCTAAGAGCCTGATATTGCTTCTGTCTCTAAGAACCTGATATTGTATCATTCTCTAAGAATCTGATATTGTATGTTTCTCTAAGAGCCTGATATTGTATCATTCTCTAAGAATCTGATATTGTATGTTTCTCTAAGAGCCTGATATTGTATCATTCTCTAAGAATCTGATATTTTATCCGTCTCTAAGAACATGATATTGTATCTGTCTCTAAGAACATGATATTGTTATCTGCCTCTAAGAGCCTGATATTGCTTCTGTCTCTAAGAACCTGATATTGTATCATTCTCTAAGAATCTGATATTGTATGTTTCTCTAAGAGCCTGATATTGTATCATTCTCTAAGAATCTGATATTGTATGTTTCTCTAAGAGCCTGATATTGTA